TTAGTTCACAATTTGCCGTATAAAAGCACCTTACCTTTTGAAAAATGCCTACGATGTTCTTGATTATGTATATGCTACGGTGCTAATATCTGGTAACGTAGCACGCCTAGTGAAATGTTCCAGGTGCTCATTTTTTGTGAGGGGGGAAAATCATCCAATGACTTCTCCTGCCCGGGTGGTGAGGTGAGAGGGAGTACCTATCAAACTCTTAACTCGTCGAGTACCGTATTTATAGACACAATTAAAGAATAATAGGTTGCGGTCACCGGTGACCGCTTGGTGTTTGACAGTTTAATGACTAAAAATCACCCTGTTCCTACTTCTGCTCTTCGAACCGAAGCCCCGGCAACCTGTTAAGTCCTCCGCGGCTCCATATCAGCATTAGCCATAATAAGCTTCATTTGTGGTCTGATGGCTCTTGGAGTGTCTGGTTCTGGTTGGACTGGGAGTTACTCGTGCTCGCCGTCCGCAAGCCCGTGCTTACGATGGCTGGAGAGCCAGGTATCGCTGGTACTTCCATTACATCTACCTAATAAAGTATAGGTCGGTTTGCTCGTCTATCTACATCAACTACTTTAGAAGACTCACAATATTTTTCAGATTAAATCTCTCTTTTAATGGAAAAATCCACTGTATCACTTTATCGCTTAGCATAATTAATTGCATTTTAATGGTTAACCGCATTAATTAATACTTTTCAAGGATTTCATTGTATAGATACATCTATATCTGTAAGTACACAATAAAAAAGGCGAGGTGACGTGTCATGGGAAATCTATTGTCATAGAGGCTGAGCAGCAAGGTCACCAAATAATTACAGATAAAATGTGACGCCATATTTATTCACAATGACATGCATTATCTCTCCGCTTGTTCATTCATATTAAACAGGAATGAGAAGTTAAAAACATGTTTATACTTAGATAAATATAACAATAATGATTAACAAAATTTGTTTGTAATTCTTAATGACCATCATACAAAGTCCATGTGATAAATCAAGTAAATATAACTGAGACAAATGATATTTATTCTTTAATTGGAGAGTGTTGATAGCTAGGCGATATTATGTGACCCTAATGAGATATGAAACGATTGCTTGCTCGACTCACAATAAACAAAAGAGAACTACATTACTCGTTCAGACAATAACAAAAGAAATGAGACCAGTCCATCGGGTCCATGCGGGCTTTGTGGTGAGGAACTACTTACTACACACTAGCAAGGCATTTACGAAAACTTGAATTTATTGTACCTACATGTACCTGTGTACTACTTATACATTTACGTAGACGTTTTTACTGCTAAACTCGCCGGTGTCTTGTATGTTTCCCTGCCTGTTTACGTCGACGCGACGTAGCGTTGAAAATAATACGGTTTTTTGACAAATGTGACCGGCCCACTGCCATTTCAGCTTGCTAATCCTTTAGGCTACATCGGTAACTTTAGTTCTCGGTACTTCTACCAAGAACTAAAGTTACCGGTAAGGAACGTAAAAGTGTTAGAAGACTTTAAAACGTTAAAGTGTTAGGTATAATATTACATTAATATATGGAACAAAGTGCAGGGAAACCACTAATTGACTGCTTAGCATTGAGACAATTAGGAATAGTGCCTAATGTTAATTTTAACATGTTAGATATTTATTTAGATATTTATTTAAATATCTAAGTAGTTATTCGCATAGTAGCCGTGGAAAAACAATACAGAATATAGAAAGGGACATATATTTTAAGTGTGGGTAAAGGTCCAATCCCAATCAATGTCTAAAGGTGGCACCGATATTCTACTCTTCTGCCTGCCATAGCTCATAAAAAAAGGAATAATCAGTATTTTTACAAAGAAATGTACCTAACACTAGAGTATACGTGTTTACATGTTATTTCATAGAAAATTTGATGGTTGATTCAGAAATGAACATTCAAACGAAATTGGCACATGCCTCAAAGACGTAGTTAGCTAGCCAGAACTGCAGCTTCTGGGTTTTCCTAAAAATCTTTTTTCAGAATTATTGTAACCGTTGTGTCGATTGTAATCAGGGTCGTGCGTATATGGCGTACAACATGTACTTCAACGTCAACCAACATGTTCTGATGGAGAAACGTAGGTTTTAATTATTACGAGGAAATCTTATTCATAAATAACTAGCTATTGCCCGCAACTTTGTCCGCGTAGAATATGAATTTTAGAACATAACTTTTGTTTTGTTTCAATCCGTTAAAATAAAAGTATAGCTTATGCTACCTACTCTTTAGTACATCAGCTACCCACCAAAAAAAATCTTGCTAAATTGGTCCAGCTATTTCAGAGAGAGAGAGAGCCAGTACAAACTACAACAGTCAGACAGATAAAAATTGTACAAAATGTTAATTTGGTATGTGGATCGCGTGAATGGTTATTTTAATATTTCAAACAGACACGTAAATTTTTGAAAACATTGTTGTTTTGTTATAATTTTGTTGAGAAACTAGATCGAAAGCTACTTACATATTTATTAGCTCGGGCTAATTGACATTTTGTTATGTTATACGTATGGCTTACAAAATATTTTCGCTTCATTAATGGATTCAACATTGTAAATATACGAAGACAGTCAGTCATTGTTGAATACTTGGCACAAGTTGAATCTTCTTTAGGCAGAAATTCATGTCTTGAATTTATTATCACCTACATTTGGTTTTCAGACTTCCTTAACACTTGTTAAGGAAGTCTGAAAACCAAATGTAGGTGATTTTGGAATTAGCAGAGAAAATAACCTATAAGTATAGGTTATTTTCTCTGCTAATTCCAAAATGCGTCATGTTATTTATTCATCAGGCTAAAAATCTCAATTTGACTAATACCTACAAGATTACATACATTATTTATGACTAGGAGAACGTTTCAATATTTATCTACCACGGTGCCTAAATGATTCTGGTGAGGGACCGGCCAAATAATTACGAATTTTGTTATTTATATTTAACCTTGAACCAATCTATCCTAGTCTTCTATTAGTTTATCCTTCGTATTTATTTCATTCAACATCAATTCAAAGAAGCGTTGACTCTCGTAAACAACCCATTACAGAACCTAAAGGAGCTGGGAAACTAATGGCAAGCTTCCTTTTCTAGAGAAGTTAATTAAATGCAAGTTAAATTTTACTAGAATCGGAAAGCAGCTAACTGTTAATATCCGTGCCGTTTTACTTCACTAAGATTACCTTCGCGATAGGAAGGGACTAGATCGTTGAGTCAGCTCTGTGCCCCAAATTCCACAGCACACCATCCGTAATGTTACCTCAATGGAATACCAACCTAAGCACCAAGCTTTAACAACTAATTTGCCTCGCAGTGAAGCCTCTAAGAGACCATTGTTTCGTTGATCTAGCGACTCGCGACTCTAGCATTAATGTCTGGTTGATGCTTTATGGCCGCAGCGATGTTTCAAGAAACTATTGAAGTTATTTTCTCGGGGCCAATTTGTACGAGAACCCATCCCAAAAAGATTACCAACATTAAGTCAGCCAATGTGGTCAGAAAGCAACCGGCTTTAGTTATACTTTCATGAGGTATTCAGTAACATCAGATAAATTTAACAAGGTATGAAATTAATTTATAATTTCAAACAGGGCTTGTTAAAGAGAGCCGGTTGCGATTCGAAAGAAGGTTCGTGTTGCCATGCAAAACGGGATCGATAACTTTTAACACAAGGGATTCTGGTGCCGTTTACTAGAATGAATAAAGTTTTATGTTGGGCGCCATATTACAATGGCTGTTATTATTAGTGGAGCCGACCTTCAGGGCCGCCTGATCTCGAGAATACCTTGGGTCCTTCCAACAGTGCTATCTTCTTAGAAACGTGGTGCACGCGTGTACCACGCACATTTTTTACACGTTATTATATAGTATGTTACTAAAAGCTGTTAAAGGTCTTGGTACATTTGGTCAACTATTCTTTTAATTGTACTTTTCGGTGCTTCCACACCAAATAATAGAGCACATTAATGATAGGTAATTATAAGTAGATTCGCATTTAAAAACAGAAGGTTTTGCCAGTTTTAAGTTTGTGTTAATTTTTGATAGGTAGGTAAATAATTAGGTATTTTGTACATACAACTCATATAGGTCAGTACGGTAGTTATGTCTAAAACAATTGTTAGTTTCCACTCTACAATACAATACAGATGCCAAAAAATACCATGCAGCTGCAATACTGCATTAAGGTGAAAGTATTTACAATCTAAAAAATATTGTTTCGAGTTAGAGCGCAAGTATCAAGTTCGACAGGCCGCAGTATAAATTCCTTCGCCTTCTTAGCGCCAGCCTACCTGTGGTGTAAAAAAAGCATTCTGGCTGCAGGGCCGCGTCGGCGCTTTTGAGATAATTTATAAGGCTCTGCCTTTCTTGGAATTTCGAAATCTCGACGAGATAGCTCCGTGCCCAACCCGCGGCTGCGGGAATGGAATGTAACGGATTTGGATAGGAAAAAATAGTGCATTGTAAAGACATCTATTGTGATACGTTTTCGTAACGACTTCTCATTTATTTATAAATGAACACATACTTCCATGTATTTCAAGGTTCAGTTGCTGTGATTCCAATAAATTAGATAGTATAAGAACCACATTGACATTCCATCTAATAATTAATTTACATAAGAACCTTTTAATGTGTGGTCCATACCATTGAAGTGAAATAATAGCAAAAAAGGCAATAAGCACATGCACAGGCCCAAATATAGGATATAGGTAAGTAAGCACCAGTAGCTTCATCTTCATCATCCGTCTGGTTTCATTCCAAGACTTTTCGTAAGGCCATTGCACTGCACCGGCAAGCCATGATGAAACTGTAGGTATAATAAGTGGGAAGTAGAAATTCAATTTTACTAATACTTTATGATTTAACATCTTCAATAAAAGGCCAACTACCAAATTTTAGTCGAAAAGAAATTAGAAATACGAAGAATGTTGTCAATAACAAGTGTTTCATATCAGTACCTATAGAATGCTGTGTGTTCAGCGAGGTGGCTGGATACTTCGTGCAACTGATCCCGTCCCGCGGGCTGCGGCACGGAGCGAAGAGTTCTGGGAAAAGCAGGCCGCATACCACGCCGCGAGCCGCCATTGGACCGCCTTGTCTTGTGCCCGCCCGCACGCAAAGACAACATTTCAGAGGCGGCACATTTTGTTCGAAGCAACTATGTAACTACGTGCTTTCCCCGGTAAAGCTGGCAACATCGTACGGTACGTGTCAAAAGACAAGGGAAAATACGACAGGTTCATCGGATAATCCACCTGCTCACAGATTGTATTCTGAAAAAGTTTACAAATAACTAGTTTTTCATTCTTCTAATTTGGCCATCTCACTAATACATATTATAAATGCGAAAGTTTGTGTGTAGAATGTCTGTTAATCAAGTAAAAACAGCCGAAGAAATCGGGATGAAATTTAGAACAGGGGTAGATTACGGTCTGGAGAAACACATAGGTAGGTTCTTGTTTACTACAGGACCGCAGGCAAAGCCGCTGGCAGAAGCTAGTTCATATATAGAGTAAAAATGAAGTCAATAAACCAATGAAGAATGTAAGATGGGCAAAGTGAAACTCAATAACGGCCAATATGCAACTTTTTAAAACAGCGATTAAAAGTTAATGAAGTACCTAAACAGGTACTTACTAAGTACTTCATACTTTATTTTAATTTATGTTAACTTTTAATTTTATGATTATGACCCATAGAACATTTTTTAATTATGCACATTTTAAATGGAATCACTATTGGCGCGAAAGAGCAAAACAAACATCTTTTGTGGATTCTCGCTTCATTGTTAGCTTTTTTCAGATAGGTACTTATTCATAAATTCAAAGAGCAATACTCGCTTGGGTATGTTCTGTGAACCTCTACTCTATGGTCATTGTTAAGTCACGAAGTGAGCGCTGTAGGCACCACTCTCGTCGGCCCGGGTTCATTCATTAAAATATGCATTTATTATTACTAACGTGCGTCTGTGGTGCATTGCCGCAGCCAGACAGGCCTTTAGTGAGTTTTACCCTGTCAGTATTATCACAGACATTAGTTCCTGTAAAATATTACCAATATGGGTACTGATCTAAGTACCCAATATACTGACCTAACTAATGGTGTGGGGTTATACATGTTACAGTTAGGGAGTCTTGAAAAATATTTAAATAATTTGTGAGTACCTAATTAATTTGCTGAAGTTCTAAGGATTATCACAGTTGAATGATTTGGTAAAATTTTGGCCAATTTCAGGAATTAAGTAAGGGGGGCGGTGAAGGTGAGACGTAAGGGATGAGGGCGACAGCTGCGAAGCACGTGGGGCGGCAGCTGTGGCGAGCTGATGCCGCGCGCCGCCCGCGCTGGCGCAAGCTGCGGCCGCACCTGCCACCGTCAAATATTATCAAGTTTTTGTACTGCTACCTTCACAAAGCAATAATATAGGGAATTGACGTCTGCTCTGATTGACCTGATATAATATGATTACAATAAACATTGGAACATAATGTAACTTACGTAAATAGGTAAGTACTTACTAGATAACTGTAGAAACACACATTAGTTAGGATAACAACCCTACTAGTTGATGTCTAATAGATACAATGAGAATATAAAAATCATTTGTACGTAGATCTAGGTACCTAATAGTGTGACAAAACAAACACTTGAATGTCATAAATTAAGGTCAATTTAATTTACGGTGCTACCCCAGTCTATGCTATTATTATAGCCTAGGTACAATGATTCAGAAGGTGTATCGTACGCAGTACCGACGTACCGTCTTAGGTATGGGTAGACTTAGACCACAGCATGTGCAATGTGCAGCAGAAGATGAGCTGGCGCCAAGGTAAGATTGAACAACGCCGTGCAATCGGTACGTAGGTAGGAATGAGCTAATCATTGGACACGTTTTGTTACGTTTTATTTACGTAGGTAACGATGTTTATCGTCGTATCTCGGCTTAGTTTACCCGCAGCATTGAAGCGACAGCTGCACTGCTCGCTAGTTCTCAAGTAATCATTATCAGGTAGAAAACCTCCTTAAACTATTTATTTGTCTATGTTTATCTGTGGTGATTACCATCAGTTCGTGAGTGATAATTGTGATAAATGTCATTTTTGTAAATTCCGGATAAATATAATAATCGTGGTTTACTTTCAGGTGAAAGAAACGAAAATGGTGGCTAACATATAAGTTGTGAACAGTGAACCTTTACAATATTATATTAATATCATTCAAGACATGGAAGAAAACAATAAATCAGAGCAAAATGTGGAAAATATAAATACTCCAACTGCTTCGGGGTCAGCTGCTACTTCAGGTTTGTTGATTGTTTGTGGTGTTTATAATTTTATTTCTACCGTCATCTTATTTAATTTTCTAGACCAATAAAATGAAGATCTATAAGTTAGGTACTTCCCTGCAGTAGGTAAAGGTCTGTACTTGAACATTTTTAAATGTAAATTAGCAAAAATAAAAAAAAATCGAAGGCGTACCAAGATAAGTGCGTAATCTATATCTGTCTGATAGTAAAATATTTTTTTATGAAGGAGTTTGTTTGATGTCTTTGAACAATAAAATTAAATTAGGTAGGCGTACATAGTTAGGTATTTTGAACTTTGAAGTATCCAAATTATTGTAGGTAGGTAGATAAGTTTATTTTAACGACTGTCGAATTAGGTACTTAGTTACCTACCTCAATATACGTAAATGCGAAGTAAAGTGGTTATATAATAACTTAGGTAGGTAGGTAGGTACATTTTTCCGTAATATTGTGAAAAATGTCGATTTTACATAAACAATCTAATTTGGATTTCGGAGAAGATATCTGCTTAGGTAAAATAAGATCAACAAAACAGGTACCAAAATACCTATCTACTTATTTAGAACAAATTGTTAGAAGGAACCTACCATGATGTTATTTTCTGATAATATTATAGACATACTAAATAAATAGCACTTACTTATTTAAAATGTAGATTTAATTTTATTGATCAGTCACATGTAAACATAAAAACTTCAAACAAACAGGTAAACAGAAAACCAATAAATACAATATTACTTTAATTATTATTCTTTATTTCATAATATACAATGCTATTACTTTATTTCGTCGATTAAAACATTATTAATATTAATTAAATACTTGACCAAAAATAAAATACGTTATGTGTTGTCACGTTAAAAAAATAATTTGGTAGAATTTATGAACTGACATAAATTTTCGTCTTATAAAGTAATATTATTATGATGAGAAAAACATTTAAAATATTTATTTCGATTAGAGCATAAGCAAATACATAAAATAGCTGAGTTGGCAATAGTTTCCAGTATTCACGTTATTTACGTGTTTTGTGAGTCAAAAATAAAATTTATACTCTTAATAAACTTAACTTTCTAGATTATCGTTAGATCAATAAATTATCTGTCAAAAATGGTATCAGCACAAGTGAAGTTCGAATCGGAAATTTAATCGAATAGATTGTAAATTTACGTAGAATTACGATTTCGATCTCTTATCTGGCAACACCTATACTAAGGCGCGCGCTAAGCGTAGCGAGCCACAGTCTGAGCGAGTGTGTGCGATGAATAGTTTTAGTCCGAACGCCGACGAGTGACGCATGTTTACGACTCACGAGCCTACTGTACTGACTTGAACCGCCGATCGATCGTGAACCGCTGTGAACGTTACTTCGTTAGTCGCGAGTTTCGCACTCATGTTGGAGAGTTGTGTTGTTTGTTGTCAGTCTGTATAACGTTTGACAAGTGAGAGTGAGAACAGTTTTAGAAACCTAGTCATAAACTAATAATTTGATGTGGTCGTGTTTCTTACCTTGTTGGAATACAAAAAAATCTGGATTACAAATGGATATTACTAAAGGTAAACTAATTTCCTTACATAACCTTCTCTTGACCATATGTTTGATAGAATTGGAACGAGAGCGACGTCACTCATCCTCGTTTCTATAATTAGTGTTTTATTTCGGATGTAATAATGTTAACGTTTGAAAATAAAATTTCGTTTTTGATATTGTGAGGTGTTTGAAAATAAAATACCATTTATTACCCACTAGTCTAAAGTATTTTAAAACTTATTGTGATGACCAGTGTGTCGTGTCAACAAGCAGGTGCAGTGTGTATATTCAATTTATTTATTTACTAGTATGATAACCAATAAAATTTTATTGTTCATCATAAATCCTACCTCCGTTGATCAGAAATCAACAATGTATTTAACAATATATTTTTTTCTAACCTATGTATATCTTCTAAGATTATCAAATACCTCAAAACATTATCGTTACTTCAATGCACCTTTGTATAAAATAAATAAATGTAAATAAAATTATTTATGGACCGTTGAATTTGCTTACTAACGCCATCTATACTATGTAAGTGTAAGCTAAAATTACATGCTGATGTCATAAAGAAAAACAGTGTTAAACAAACAGTGGAATGCAAATAAGTGCCACTTCAGACATACATAAAATAGATAATTTCCAGAAACACATTATCATCGTCATTATAATTATAGCTATCATTATGACTTATGTCGACTTTCAGGAAACATAGTGATAAGATACCTACTCATATCAGAATGATTATATTTTATTTGCAATTTTCCTCAAAGTTTTAACCATTCTGGATGCTTGATCCTGGTGTTTAACTGACTATTGTGAGGTACAAAAAGTCAAGGATTTTTTGTACCCAGTTTGTTTTGTTCATATGGCCTTGTTACTTGATTGTCAGTAGGCACCCAGTGGGGCCTCTGCTACTTGGATTGGTTCTTACCAAAATTGTTAAATCTTTTGATTACAGTAGTAGAACAATATATCTATTAACGATATAATGATAATATAATTTTTTTATATATTTAACGGATAAAATTAAATACTTAAATTAAATTTCTTTAATCTAGGAAAAAAACATGTTTTTGTGTTTTTAATCATTACAACATACTATTATTAGTCATCCAAGTTCCCGTTAAAATTGTCCTTGTAACATCACAGGAAAATAATTTTAATTGAATTTCATTACTTTTCCTTGTAGGTAGTACTTGTAACGCCACACAGTTTGTGACTAGTAGCGCCATCTGTTAGCAACACCGGGAACTAAACAATAAATAATGTACATTCCTTTCTACATTTAATTATTATTTTCTTCATGTTATTTCTAAATGGCAATTATACCATAAAACAATGTTGGCAAAATATTCCTTGTAAAGAGGCATATCAGTATTAATGCCTGTTTTGCGATTTCTTTTTCTTTTAGGTATTCTTTTTAACCGAATTCCCAAAAAGAGGAGGTTATCGTGTAGTAAACTAGATGAGTTTAAATTATCGTGAACTTCAATGCAATCCAGAAGAAAATAATTTGATGATCACCTGCCGATATAGATGATGATAAATTGATAATAGACAATTAGATCAATTGTTATGGTATTGATCAAATGTAATTACAGTAGGTACTTTTATTGATCATCATATAATGTTTACGGAATCACCCAGTCCCAGTTTTTCATGCATGATGTTTTTTCCTTGGTTACATTTTAATGCCAAGCTCTTTGATATGTATGCGCCCCATCTGGCGGATGTTCTCTTCCGCTGACACCAATTCCGGGCTATCCTTTAGTTTATTTTTCTTACTTTTATGATGAGAGAAGCCATGGTTTGTTTAATTTACGTTACGACAACAAGCATCAATTTCATTCATTTGAACACATTCATTTTCGAGTTACGTATAACATCATCCGTATAAGTTTGTAGAATTGTTCATTTAAGGAGAAATTGCTTAGACACAACTGTACTGAAATTACGTAGAAGTATGTAGCTAAATAGATAGCAGTCTAGCGCGTAGGCGCTACAGGCGAGGCATTGGAATTCGAAAGCCGAGCGCCGACCACCCATAGGCATGAGAACATGGCCCCGTCCCCTTCCCCACGCTTGCTCTCCCGGCCGGCGCCGCCTCTCGCCGCTCTCTTAAAGCACAATGCTGAATTTCATTTGCTTTTTGCGGGGAGTGACGGGAACTATGCACATGATATAAGCCGACTGGCTGGACTTCAAAATTAAAATTGGTTCCTCAGATTTACAGTAACTAGTAATGAGGAAGATCCATGTAGGTAATTTAGTATTCCGTCACTAGTTACTTTGGAATCTGCATAGTAATAATGATTTAGTCATTATTACAGATTCCTCTTAAAACTTTTAACAATTATACATAACATACATTATGTGATTAACTGAATAAAATTAAGTACGACAGTAGGTGCCTACATTTCTACTATTTCTTAAAACTAAAGTACAGTCCACTCGCATTCCAAGCATCCACTTTTGTGTACTTTTTATTTGGTGTTGTATTAGACCCGCCCATCAGTAAACTACTGCCACATTCCACAGGCCCTTTTTTACGCTGTGTGGTCGCGGTTTCCGCTGAAGACGGCAACGTCGCGTCTCAAATATGAATGAAATCCGGTCGGCTGTGAACGGCACGGCAACGTCGCACCAGACGCTAGCCTGATTGAGAACTTACTATCAGTGTTGCCAGATGGAATTTGAGGGATTAAATAGAATGAGTTGTAGATATACGAAAACGGAATGTTTGACTTTGTTAGTTTTTATCTTAGTAACTTTGGTGGATCCGACTTCAATTAGTATAAAGTAGATAACGATGAGGTAGTTGATTAAAATTCCAAGTCTTGAGAGTAAAAAGATAGCACCTATAGAGATAATTCCACAATTTTAAAATAAAAAAAATTACACATCTTTATCAAGTTTATTGAAATCGTTCGTCGTCGCAATATGTTGTTATCACAATGAAACCTCTGAAATAGTTTTGTTATTTTTGAAACAAAGGTTTAAAGTTGCCTCCCCCCCGCTAACTTATAAAGGTCACTGAACTTTAAAAGTTAGCCATTGATAACGTAATATTCGAAATATATTTAAAAGATGTGTCTTAAAACTTCACTCATTAAAGGACTCTTCCAAGTAGTCAGCTGCAATACAAGCGTCGAATGTAACAGCTGTGCTATAAACACACTTACAATGGCAAATTACCAAACTGCAGTGTGCACCCCATGTGTACGGCAATACTCCTGATCGCGGAGGGTTGTAGCCCGACCATTTGAACCCTCTTTTAAAGTGCGTACGCTTGCGCAGTGGGGTGGTCGTTGTAGCACAATATCACCACCAGGCGGCACAGTATACGTACAGCCAACGATGTCGGTACTCACACGTACGATATCGCGCTTTTATTTTAATTCTACAATCATAATTTGCAAAAGTTCTGTTTTTTTTGCAATGTGCATTTGCAGTGTTACGTGAAGTGTTGTGTGTATAAATATTGTCAAAATGCCTCTTTTAGTAGACACCAAAAGTAGAAATGGTAAATATCGATCCGTGGGCTGTCGGCCATTAGCTACTTTGAAGGCCTATTGTTTTGATACTTTGACATCCCTTTTGTTTTTAAACCAGTTTATTTATTTATTTATTTATTATTATTATTATATAGTATTTTCAATGTTTGTTCCTTTTTTCTTGAATAGTAATTTCTCAATCGTTGGAAAAAATATGCTTGTAGGTAGGTAGTAGGACTTTACGACATTTCACTAAATAGTATGAAATAAATGCTATGGGAATCAAGTGAGATAAAAGAATAATGTTCCCGTAAATCCCTTGAGGTTCTTTGAGGTGGGTTACCAAACAGATTCTGGTCATTCGGTTCATGCGCACTGAGTGCACTTTGGGAGGAGTGAGGGCGGTTAGCGGGGCGGCGGCAGGCATTGGAATGTCGATGACGCAGCCAGCCGGGCCGGCCCCGGCGGCCGCGAACTTGTTGTTATGTGAAACTGTTTTTAAACGCACACTCGCATACACTATCTTCTACATATGCCGACATTTTGTATGTTTTAAGTTATATTAAATTAGCTCAACCAATATTCTGAGAATAAAACTTAAAAGACAACATTTTAACTTTTTGATGCGTAATGTAGCATAGGCACTAATTATTCAGGTCTTACAAGTAGATATTAAGTATTTATGTCGTTGTTACATGTTAGACTTAACTTTTTTACTAATTGGAATCTTTCTTTATTTTCAGTGGCATCCAATGGCCCCGCCTCAACATTAACGCTATTCAAGAGCGGACCGCGTGAGGCTAAAATTCGACCTCTCGCGCCATTAATGCTCCCGACGCAAAGTTACGACTCAAACGCCGGCTCTCCGGCTTCGTCACCATCCACCCCTTGTTCTTCATCTTCTTTCTCCATCGATAAAACCGACAACCACGACACCTTTGGCTTCAGTGCGGACACGGCTGATATGAGAAAAGAGGATGAACGTATGAAAACATTTGAAAAATGGCCCGTCAGTTTCCTAACCGGACAGCAACTCGCTCGAAATGGATTTTACTACCTAGGCCGTGGAGATGAAGTCCGTTGCGCCTTCTGTAAAGTGGAGATTATGAGGTGGGTTGAGGGCGATGACCCTGCGAAGGACCATCAGCGTTGGGCGCCACAGTGCCCATTCGTGCGCAAGCTGAACGGTAGTGCCAGCAGCGACACAGGTAGTTCGGGCCAGGACGAATGTGGGGCCCGCGCCACTCCCTCCGGTACCTCTCCGCCACGTATGGCCGGTCCCGTGCACCCACGATATGCGTCTGAAGCCGCACGACTACGTAGTTTTAAAGACTGGCCACGATGCATGCGGCAAAAACCTGAAGAACTCGCAGAGGCTGGCTTTTTTTACACTGGTCAGGGAGACAAAACCAAGTGTTTTTACTGCGATGGTGGATTAAAAGATTGGGAGAACCATGACGTACCCTGGGAACAACATGCACGGTGGTTTGACCGTTGCGCCTACGTGCAATTGGTGAAGGGTCGAGAATACGTTCAAAAGGTGATTTCTGAGGCTTGTGAGGTATCCGCATCGGAAGCAGAACGTGATGTTGCTCCCTCACGAACTACCAGCGAGTCCAGCGCGCCAGTTGAGACGCCGGAGAACTCAGTCGACGACTCAAAGTTGTGTAAAATCTGTTACGCGGAAGAGCGTAACGTGTGCTTCGTGCCGTGCGGCCACGTGGTGGCTTGCGCCAAGTGCGCGCTGGCAGCCGACAAGTGCCCCATGTGCCGCAGGACGTTTCAGAATGCAGTGCGATTATATTTCTCGTGAGAAGAGCCGCCAATTTGAAGGCTCGATTCTAGTCTTAAGGGACGGCCGGATAGAGCTGTGTGCTGAAACCACGAGCTCGGAAGCCACGTTTCCACAGGCGGAGTAACCTATTAAAACATATTGTTTGATAGTTTCGATAGGAACTCGCTCGCTAGTGTAGCAAAAGACGAAATTGAGAGTCCTCAGGAGTAAGACAGATATATTTAGGTATAGTGAATTATAAAATACTTAGTTAGCATATATTAAGATTATATATTGATGACGCTTATTACTTTAATTACACGATCTAACTTGACGTGTTATTACAATTATTTATTTTACACAAATGTAACAAAGCTTTGTGTGACATTGTAACTTTTTACCGATAGAATTTCAAAAGTCGTGTTTGTGATAATTCGATGTAACGGCAATGACGGATATACCCATTCTTGGCAATAGAATGGGAATTACTTGATTTCTGACTGTGGAAGCGTGGCCTTACTGAGGCCGCCCTTGTGATCTAATAAATTATAAGCGGTGGGGCAATGTTAACACTCCGCGTGAAATAGTAATAAGACAATATAATTTTGATGTTAACATTATTTTAAATTATTTATAAATATACAGGTCGTGCTCGTTTTGGAAATATTGTCATATATGTAAGTGCAACACAATAAATCAGTTGCATAATTGTTTTTTTGGTTTACTAAATTCTATAGGACTAAACTTGGTTTTGAAGGCTAGTCTGAATAATTAAGTGTATTAGATACAAACGCAAAAGTGGATAATATTTTAATTATAATACAAACTATTTAATTTTTTTTCAAAGAATTCAGTAATGTGTCCCTGTCGATACAGAGAATGTAAATAATGATTGTAAATATGTAGCTTATCGTTTTGTCCCACCGACAAAAGTGTACATAAGTGTTAAAACGTTATCAGCGCAAATAATGAAACAGGAAAATCTGCATTTGACCTAAAATAACTTAGAAACATGTTTTGTTTGTGCTGAGCAAATGTAAAACAGAGTAAATATTTCTCGATCATTTAAATTAAAGGGTTTAAACAAGGATTCTATTGACACAGTATAGAATGTTATAAATATATAACTAATGAAAGCATTTCATAGACACTTCTTTTGTGAAACGTCTTGCGATGCATATATACTAATAGGTTGCATTTAAATTGTTTTTCGCGTAGCAAACCTCTGAATAATGTTTTGTCACATGTAATTTAAAAGTTAGCTTATTTAACAAGATAGGTACATTAAAAGGTTTTCCATAGTTTATAATATTATTTATGAGTGAATTCTTGAAAATACGTCAATATCATATTAATATTATAATACACGCCACTGGATATCGTTTTTGACATTTAACATTAATGCGTAATTGCAAAAGAGAATTCATAAGTCGCATTTAATTTGTTTTCAAATGTGATGATTACTATTTCATTATTAATTAAAAAATTGTTAAATCATATTTATTTTTGTTTTATTATTACCTTTAAGAACCATTATTCAACAAATACTGCAATCAACACCCAGAAAATTTAACAATCATCAATATGATGCCAACATGAGTTTTTTCTCTAAAAGCAGTAAACACCTGCACTGCGTTTTTTATCAGTTATGTAATTGAATCCCTATATAAAGCATAACTTGCTTCAACTCAACTTATTTAGATGGTTAATTTGAAAAAGAAAATATGAGTAAATATTAAATATCATTGTGGTTATTACAAGTTTGACCACTTCTAATGTGATAATGCACTCCTTTCGGATTGGTCTTTCGATGTGAGAATAAAATATGAGCAAACTACGTCCCCGGTGAGAGAGAGACAAATCAATGTACTTTTCCCGTTACCACTGGGAATAAAACAATGAAATTAGAAAATAACATAAATAGAATTCAAACCTTATGCTGTAGTAATAATGAAAATGAGTAAGCAATTTTTGTCGTACCAAATTACCTTTTCTGGGCTTATACCTAAGCCGACAATGGCAGTAGGTGCCATATTCGAAGCGAACAGAAAATACAAATTAGAATTCAACCGGCCTCACAGAAAACCGACGTGGAATCACGCTTGCATTGTGTTTCTTCGAATTCCTATTCCTCAAAAGATCGATAACGCATTTGTAACGCCTCTGGTGTTCCGGGTGTCCATGGGCAACGCCGATTGCTCACCATCAAGTGATCCGTCTGCTGTTTACCGGCTTTTCCCATAAAAAAAAATAATCGGAAGCAAAATAGTTACAAAAATTAGTCACCTGCACTGCACAACTTGGAGTACTTTCGATGTACAAAGTAAAAACAAAAAAAAGGATTTTTTTAAGATTAAAAAAAAATATCATGGTAATACGCACATGAAATGCAAGACGTAAATATGTATAAGTAAGTACTATTCGCATCGCACGTGCCACCCGACGATACCCGAAATACCTCATCGAGAATTACATGGCGTGATGTTTTGATACCATAGTATTGAGTTCGTATGAGCTTTCGAAGTTTGCTTTTTGCAATGTTTCACCAATTATTTTGTTTTAAACATTATATTTCTTTGTAAAGACAGAACCATTTTACTTCAGGACGAAAGCGAAATAGATTTCATGGTGTATAACTCATACTGTCAAAATGTATATTGTTTATAATTGAGGGGCATTTGTGCACCAAGAATAAGAGACCACGCTGATAGAGAACTAGCACGTTAAGTTTGAAAATACAATAATATAACAAGACATTTATTGAAAGAATTAATTATAAATGCATCAAGCCATGAGAGATTCCACATACTTATTATTAGATTGTAACAATTCTTGCTTTAGTTTTGCAATCTCTTTCATCATAATATCATCTGAAGTTGTTTCCTCTTGTACCTGCTTACATTTACGCAAGAAGTCTACGATTAATTTCTGTCCCTCCTTCGTTTCTGTTGATTTTACAGCTGCTTCCACGTCGAACAAATTAATTTCTAGCTGCGCTTGTTTAGTTTCGGCATACTGAAAGAAAGAATTTAACAGGTCAGTTTTAGACTTAAATTACAAAATGCAGTGTGAGTAAACAACAGTTGAAACTTACTATAATCTATACTTACAGGAAGTTTTTAATTCATATTCATTTTAAAAACAGCCAAGAAATCACTAACTTGAGTATTTATAAAAAAAAAAAACTATCTACATATTTACTCAAAAACGAACAAAAAATCACAAATAAGTACATAATATCTGACCTTAATGATAGAATCGGGTAGGTCTGCGAGTTTAGCGACGTGTAATCCCAACGAATGTAATGCAGGGCCGGGAACGATGCGATGCAGTAACAGAAGTTGCCCGTCAAGGACCGACGCCTCCGCGTGAGAGTTCACGATGACGCCAGGGTGGGAACTCGCCAGTCGCGTTAGCTCTTGGTAGTGCGTCGCGAACAGACAGAAACATTGGCTCTTTGTTGCTAATTCTCTGTAAATATATGAACATTTTTGTTAAAGGTAATGTATAGAGTATTTTTCACGTAGGACACCCATGTTTTAAGCCGACTCGGCAGGTTTGATACCACGGCCTCGTAGAAAAACGAAGTGAGGCAATGCTTGCGTTGTGTTTCGCCGTGTGGGTGAGGTTACCGGAGGATATATCTACCTCTCCATTCCCAATCAGCCGGCAATACACTTGTTTGTAAATTGCTTGTGTCCAAAAATAGCTGCTTTTTAAATAAAGAGTACATAGCCTAATACTAAATACATTTCTGAATAATGTAGTACTTACTCGGCTATGGCCCATGCTATTCCACATCCCTCATATGTTGATGTACCTCGTCCCAATTCGTCTATCAAAACGAGCGAATCTGCCGTTGCAGTCTGAAATAAGTATCGTCACCTTTTAATATAAGGAGTTGCTATGCTGGAGTCATGTCCAACTTCTTATTCTTCTATCGGTACGGAGCAATAAGGTAGTACTCTACCTACAACCTACATACACAAATAGGTACTATTTTTGGTTACTTATGAAATATCAGAATAAATATCACTGGTAGAGTAACTATGTAAGAAACAGTTTGCATTTCAGTCCGTTTTGTTAGTTGTTGTGGAAGTTAATCCGAGCAAGAGATTCGATCAAGTCGGATAGTGTACTTGTATTTTGTTAGTTTTAGTTTATTAGAACTAGTATTGGGGTTTTATGACAATTTTCAGTTGTAGCAATGCGGGTGGAATTGTGCCGGTATATGGCAACAGACTCACTCGCCAGTACATGGGACCCTATACATATCTAGAGAAGAGTGGGGCTTACATGGAATATTGGAATGTGTATCACGGAATCACAAGATATATGAGAAGCCATACTGACCCGTAATATGGCCGCGGTGTCAATCATCTCCCGCATGAAGGTACTATGTCCCTGTCCTTCAGCATCACTAGCGCCGATACGTGCGGCCAGGGCGCGCAGGCGTGGTATAGTGGCTCGTGCGGCGGGTACTGGACACCCGGCGTGCGCTAGTACGCAGGCCGCGCCGCACGACCTCATCCACGTGGACTTACCTCCCATGTTGGCGCCTGTTACTATGTGTAGGATGCCTTCACCTGACAAATTCATATTTACAGGTAAATATCTACACAGCTACCATGGTTTACGGTGATTGCATAACTTGCGAAAAGTATCACGGGCCTGATTTCCACTTAGAGACAACTTCATTTCTATTCTTGTTCTGGGTGCATTTAAAAACACAAATTTTACATCACGTCACACAGAAAATCAGAATGCTTCATATGAAAATCAGACTCGCGACACGTTTCATAGAATAGCTAGTCATTCAGTCAACATAATAATTAACAAAACATAGGTACCAACCTCTTTTGAAAACAACATCGTTGGGTATATAAGATACGCCTTCAGCTACCTCTAGACAGGGATGGCGCAACTCTTCCATCACCATTTCATTATTATCCTCAGTTAAACTAGGACGTATGTACGGTATGGGAGCAATAGAAGAAGCTACCGCGAACGAAACTAGAACGTCCAGCCGAGATAAAATGTGGGATAAACAGAATAAACATTCTGAATATCCAGCTGAAACATAATAAAAAAATAATAAGACTTACTCACTTTAAAAATAACTGTATTCTGTTAATTTGGACAGAACCGAAACAGATTTAGATAAAATATGCGTCTTCATAAACAGTTCGAGGATGAATGTGAAACCCGATGTAGTTGGAAACTAGTTGAGCATCCTCAACCAGTGGACGTAAATCGTCTATTTTATTTTGTCTCGCGTTTTACGGTAATCGCGTATTATTTCTAGGAATCGATAACTATTAGGGTAAACGTGTTACAAAGCGATTGGCACACTTAGGCTGAAGAAAACGTCAAATAGATGTGTGGTAATAGATGGATGTGAAGAGCTTCCGCGCTTCCGCGCGGTTTCACTCGCAGTGCTCGGCGCCTATTAATCGTAGCGTGATATTTTATAGCCTATAGCCTTCTTCGATAAATGGGCTATCCAACACAAAGAATTTTTCTAATCCGACCAGTAGTTTTGGAGATTAGCGCGTTCAAACAAACAAACAAAAAACAAACTCTTCAGCTTTATAATATTAGTATAGATAAGATTTAGTATCTCACCTGCTATGCCCACAATCTCAGCGACTACTTTGTCTTGTTCCTTCTCGTACATAGATTTAGCTGTAGTATATTCATCTGTGATATTCTCCAATGCTTTAGTTTTGAATCGAACACCTCCTTTCACTGCATCTATTATTGTGTACTTCTTGTTTCCACGTAGTGACTGTTCTTCCTTTAATGTTACTCTGAAAAAAGTTTTGATACAATATCATTTTTTAGAAATAATAATTATACCTATACTAATTTTTACACGCGGCTTCGCTCGCGTCACAAAAAGATAAAAAGTAGCCTATGTGACATATACCAATAAACACAGCGCCATCTATACCAATACTTTTGTTTTCCCTCGGGAATATTAAATTTTACCGGGACAAAAAGTACCCTATTATTTAATCCAGACTTCTAACTTTACCTCTGCAAAATTTCAAAGCAATCGGTTCAGTAGTTACGTCGTGAAAGCGGAACAAACAAACAAACTCACTTTCCGATGTATAATATAACAAGTAAGGAAGTAAGGATAGTAGGAGAACTATACACTAATAAGTTCGAATCTGGAAATATTTTTTCGGTATTTTTTAGAAGTAGCTGGAGTCTAGAATGATGCCTGGTTCTATGGTATTTAATAGGCTCGCCCCTTGTTACTTGTAAGAGTCCCTCTTAAAACATCTGGCAAAAAGTTGTGTTATGTTACATTAAACTCGATGTACCATTATTTTATTGTATTGTATACATGAAAGTTTAAATAAAGGCAACGGCAATAGATTGCACGGTTGGCGCGGTGGCTGGGCAACAGGCTGCCGCACAACGTGTCGCTGGTTCGATTCCCGCAGATTGTTGTTCCTGGTCTGGGTATCATTTGTATTTGAACTTGTATG